GTAGTACTAGTAGTATATACTAGATACTGTTACGTTTCGTATTTGTTTCGTGAACCACCAAGTAACAGTAGGTATGTGAAACAGGGGATGACATACTGATCAAAATGATGCTGATATATATCAGGTATACAAAGTTCAAGTACACGAGTGTACCTACCTGTACATGTATGGTTGCAGTTGTCCATTCTTGCCAGAAGTTGTACAGTAGATTCACGTTTGACAGAAGTTGTAACGTTAGACTCGAAAATGGCACTTGAATTTTCTATATATCTCTGCTGGAAACTTTTGGATGCAACCTCCGGTTTTGCACACCCAAGCCGTGAATGAGCGTGTACCACTACTTCGAAGTACTGTACAGTAGGGTATCCAAGCGTCAGTGCAATCCAACCAGCCAATAGACCAAGAAGAATCACTTACTGACAGGGAAGCCCACCCAATTTGCACTTCTACCCGAGGTAGCCATATACATGTCATTTCGAAATTGCCTGCAAAACACCCGCGCTCAAGTACAGCACGAGTGTATGCATGGTAGTACTAGTATACTACTAGTACTGTAGAGTCCAATAAGCTAACTTACGGTCAGTTTGTAATAGTACTACGTACTATTGTTCTTTTCTAACTACTGGCGATGCACTTACATAACTCCGGGAGCAGCAAGATAAGGGGTCCGGGGTTTCACAGAAGTCGCCCAGAATAATGAACCCACCATAAATCTATATGATTTCAGTAAATATAATTTTGTGTGCAAACCAATCATAAAATCCAAGAGGAATATTCAACTTTTAAAATAACCAGGCAAATAATGCAACATATGTTGACGACACTCACACTAGGTACTCAATATGGCGCCGCCGCTGTCGCGGTTACAACTGACAATCGAGCAGAAGCATACACTATTACAGCAGCATGCGTCATATCCTGACATGAAAGGAGTTGAGTTGCGTCGATGGCTCGTTAAGTTCTTGGCCTTTCACGTGTCCCTCCAAAATCGACAATGGCGCGGTAGCTTAACTTCCACGATGACCACGATGGTGTCCATCTGTCATAGGATTGGTTACTGGGTCTTTGGAAGGAAAATGATTACGTAGGAAACAGAGGAACCATTTCTCTCAGGGAATTATTCATTCACCTAACTTCAAGTTGGAGTATAGTACGGTACTGCACATAGGTGTGGCTGACAGGAGTTGACCTACCAGGTACTAGTACCGATCAGAGTGATCCTCATATAAGGAATACAATGTTAATTAAAGCATAGCACGAGTATGCATTGTAGCAGTTGTGCTCGAAACCAAGTTGGATGCAAACCTCTATGGTAGTTTTGCACTGGCTTGTCCGAGCCGTGGACGAGCGCGTGCACTAGGGCATCCAAGCGTCACTGAATCCAAACGAATAATCGACCAAGAACAATCACTTGAAAGGCAGAGATGATGCACCTAACCCACCCAAATCGTTCTCGTACCCGGGGTAGCCATATCTGATGGAATGACCGTGAGACACATTTTGGTCCTTGCTACGACGTTGTCGTTTTGGTATATTTATGAAGATTTGTCATTTCGAAATTGCCAGCAAAACACCCGCATCATGCCTAGCATCTATGGTACGCTCGCCGTCGCGGTCATGACCGTGGGGGCGCAACAAACCCCGTTCAACTGGCAGCCATGCCCCGACACGAACGACACCCGCGTGCAATGTGGGTTTCTCAAAGTCCCCCTCAACCACTTGGATCCGTCGCCCAACCAAACTATCGATATCGCCGTCCGCCGCTTCCGCGTCCCCAATGCCGCCAAGGGCACCATCCTCCTCAACCCTGGGGGACCGGGGATATCTGGCATGCCCTTTGCTGAAAGCGGCGTCGCGCAGTACCTCGGGGGCCAGCACGACGTGTTGGGTTTCGACCCCCGTGGGGTGGGGATGTCGCGCCCCGCGCGCTGCACCAAGAACGGCTACACCGCCTCGAACGAGTGGCCCAGTCGGAGCAACGTGCCGTTCGACTCGCCGACCGCCGAGACATCGTTGGGGCGGTACGGGGCGTCCATAGAGGCCATAGTCCGCCGCTGCGAAATGTACGACGGCGACTACGTCAAGCACCTGTCGACGTCGTTCGTGGCGCGGGACATGGACCTGATCCGGGCCGCCCTAAACGAATCCGTGGTCAACTACTATGGCAAGTCCTACGGCACCGTTCTCGGTGCCACGTATGTCAACATGTTTCCCCACCGCGTCGGCCGCGTCGTGATCGAATCGGTGCTCGACCCGACACTGTACACGGGACCCTCGTCGGACCTGCTGGCCACGTCCACCGTTGATGCCGACGAAACGTTTGATTCATTTGCCAACACATGCGAGGCGGCGGGTCAGGCCAACTGCCCGCTCGCGTCCGAGCCCCAAGTCGGCAGGCGCGTTCGCGAGTTTCTGGCCACGATGGAGGAGACGCCTGTCATTGCGCCGACGGCGGCCAGGGACGACTTCTCCGTCCTCACAGCGGCCGATGTTCGATTCATGATCCTACAGGCATTGTACGACCCGAAGAAGTGGCTCGGCTTGGCGCGCGATCTGCACAACTTGTTGCGGGGCCAATACGTGTCGCCCCCCGTGCCCGATACATGCCCCGTGACAAACCCCTCCTACCTTGGCATGAGCATGGAGTTCCCCATCTACATTGCCAATGACGGTGAATTGAAGGGGACGCGGGACTGGCACCGCGCTCTCCGCGAGGCCAAGCGTAACAGCCCCCTCTTTGGCATGCAGTTTGCCTATGATGCCTTGCCTGCCATGTACTGGAAGATTCGCCCCGTGGAGCGCTACAGTGGTCCGTGGAACGTCCAGCTGCGCCAACCGATTTTGATTCTGCAAAACAAAATCGATCCCGTCACCCCCCTGCGCGGCGCCCGAGCGCTCGCCAGACTCATGGGCCCCAACGCGGTGTTCGTCACACGCGACGGGTATGGTCACGGCATCAACAGAATGCGCAGCAGCTGCATCCGCAATACCCTCGCCGCCTTCTTCAACAACGCCACGTACCCCAATCACAACTCCAACTGCAAAGTGGATGCAGGTCCGTTCGATCCTAAGCCCCACCAAGCCAGTACCGAAAGGAAGCTTGATGAGGTCGACGAAGCCGCGCGATTGTAAATGTCGGCGATCTTGGCCAAGGCCGAACGACCGTTGTAGTTCCGTTAATGCGTGATCAAGGTGTATAATGACAATGTCACAGCTCCAACTAAACTGGTAGTACCAGTTTAGTAATATGGTGCAAGTCATCTAAATTCTACAAAAAAAATGCCTTGTTTTGTGTTGAGATTTTTTACGAAAATAAGCCGTAATAACGATAGAATTACTGTTCAGATTTTCGATTGGTGAAAAATTGATCGAGTAATAGAATTTAACACCAACCGGCTTTTTTGTATGGAAATATGTGGAGCCAGGCCGAAAAGGAGCATCAAGAATATCTTGGTCTTTGTATACAGCACTTATCCGTATGAACGTTTCCATTGTATCCGGATTATTCAGGACGTTTAACGTACCCTAAAACACGTACTCCAAGTACTGTATCATACTTCGAAGTATACCAGTAATGATTTACTGTTAACTTCGAAATTTCGTGGGTTTAACAGTAAAACGTCTCCTCCTGAGGATGGCCGATCTGTGTACTACTACTAGTAGTCTTTAGATGACTTGCGCCATACTCCAGAGTAGTATAACTATTACTAACGTTAGTATACTACTACTTTAGTATACTACTACTTTAATACTACGTAGTTCTACGTACTAAGTAGTACCAGTATTAAATTGACGCCAAAACAAGTGCAAAGCACAATAGTACTACGTAGTAATAGTATTAATACAAAGTACTAGTACTACTCTGGAAAGAAATATAAGGAAGTGTCCACTGTCCGAGTGGAAAGAAATATAAGGAAGTCGTGTCTCACACAATTACAAACCTATTCTGGCTAGTTGGTCTTCGATCTCAAACTGGAGAACTCTATCACTGCAGGTAGCTACAAGGTCACTACTTACTATTAACGATTCTGGTAGTTGGCCAATACGACGCAGTTTAGCTTTGCCAATATGCTGCAGTTTGTTATTGTACCCGCTAACCTCCAGAATAGAAGTCATAACACCTTGCAGCGTCAGAAATATGTTCTCCGAAGTTTCCACACATCTAACTCTACATATGCCTCATGTACAGCTAGTATCAACTCATCGATATTGCTTGCTTCCTTTTTATACTGCAGCGTCTGAATAGCACGAAAGAATCCAAGATCCAAGATGTTCAAGTCAGGGCTGTTTGGTGGTTGAAAACGCGTCGAAATGTTCCATCCTAGAACAATTTGATATTAGTAATTCGAATATATACAACAAGAAAAATCATTGATACTACTATACCGAATGCTTTGCACGAAGACTCAAACATGGCGTCATGAATGTTGTGCGCCGAGGCATTGTCGTGTTGAAGTAGGATCGGGAGGCCCTTCAGTGATGGCGGCCAAATCCGTCGAATTGCAGGGAGGACGTGGTTCACCACCATATCGTAGTAAACGTCTCTTGTGACGGATATGGGCTTGGTTTCAATCGTACCAGCTTGTCGGTTTCGACTTGTACGCAATGCTGGCACGCCCTACACGAACGGTCACATCGCGATCTTGCCATCAAACCACGCTCCAGTCGCTACAACCAATCGTGGGCGCGCCACGGCGCAAAGGAACATCACTTTGGTTCGGAAGTTCGTGTTGTGACATGCTCGCGTCGGTTCCTCTTTGTCGATTCCGAGGTAGATTGTTTTTGTCAGCTCGTCGAGCCAAAACCACTTCCTGTCGAGGTGCACGTCGCTGTACATCGGATTGAACTTGCACACGTCGTTCGAATGCTCCACAAACTCCAAGCAGTAATTAATGTGATGGGCGTTGTGTGGCTTGAGCAGGGGCTTGAGGGAATTCGCGCTCACCCGGATCTGCTTGTCTTTGATGAGCCTGCGGACAGTGGTGTGCGACACACCCAAATGATGCCCCACAGCCCGTAATGACCGATGTTGCTTGGTCGGAATAGTTCGAAGCTTCTCGTTGGCGGCCCTGTGGAGAAGGGAATCGACTGCCAAAAACCGATACATGTGGTACGCTTCTCTGAACGACAGCTTATTCTCAGTGAACTACATGAGGTCGTGACCATTTTGTCGCTATCCAACCTGCATGGACATTAGATCTTTAAACCAGCAGCGGACTAACTTCCAATGTTACTGATATCAATACAATTGGACTGTAGTGCTTCCGAAATAGTATTTTAATTCGTCAGTAGATGTCAAATATGCATGCACTTTGCTACTGATAAGATATATATATTGCAATCAAGAACTCAGCAAATCCGAAAGAGACTAGGTTACTGATCAAAAACGCAGTAGCCGATCATTTAAACCCTATGGAACCAAATCAAATCGATCAGCAAACACGTTTTATTAATGGTATGAATCCATCTCCATCATATAATAGTTACTCTTCGAACGATTCATCGATGGCGACAGAAAGCGTGCAGCACGGTTGCTGTCAATAGACAATCTCACTTGGCGATTCAAACGATGGTGGCGTTGGGCTTCACTGCGCTTGTGAGGGGAAGTGAATTGAAGCGACAAGCTGATTCCCCCCAAAGGTGCAACCTCGATGATGTGGACACACATATAACCTACTTTGCGTTTTTAATATAGGTTTGAATCGAATATCCTTAATAAGAACAGTTTTGGCGAAATTTCTCCCAGCCTTTACATAAATGTACTCATCTATGGGATCTCAAAGATGTTATCATATAACGTAATATTTCGGTCAATACTTTGCTGGCGGTACTGTAATCTTGTGGAGGGATATCTCAGCCATTACTGTACGAACTCATGTTAAATTAATCTACTTGCACACCAGCTTCGTCTATGTCACCATGAAATCAACTTGCACACGTTTTGGGCACAAGCAGCTTCGATTCACCTCCGAAAACAATGCGAGATGGCTGAAGAAAGTTGTGGACTTTGTAACTTGTTAGTACAATGTACGAAGAATCAGGTAGTAGGGAAATTCCGAATAGTATCAGTGGGTGAAATTGTGATTCTACATCACGTCGGAGATCGAGTAGTTCGTCAGATAGTCGATCTCTAATCAAGTGGTGAGTTTTATTGGAAGTCGCATGGGTTATTTTCAATTTACTTGATCTGCTGCTCATTAACCCAACTACTGATCGTAAGGTTTATTGCTGCAGGGAACTTCACAATGCAAGGCCTACCGAAGAAAGTAAGAGTTGCACTATGAATTTGTCCAATGATATAGACTGCAAAACAATTCTTGAAACGAATGTCTTGGCGTTGGTAAGGCAGGGAGGCAAAACCTTCAGAGCAATAGTTTCAATTCGAGGCATGCTATCATTTCACACCGTCGCACCTAACTTGTTTGATTGCAATCAACAAACAGCTAGCTTCGTCCGTTAAACTCACTGCTACACCAGAGTAGAAGTGGCTATATACCGTTTTTAGCGTACATCTGCACCAACACTCGTGTTTGCCGTTGACTTGCACCAACAACTCAAGGATTTGTTGATTTGCACCTAATACGTGATATATTTACCAACCATGCTGCAGTTTCAATTGCGAAATTCAAAACATTAATGCCACATAGGAGATGTTGACTTCCTTGCTCAAACAACACGTAAACTCGGCCTTCTCAATCGCATCAGCGGAACGGGGCGTCGGGGTTGTTCACCTGGGCTAACACTGCTTCGACCTTAGAGTCCGGCAGGTGCTGCAACTTGTCGTCGAGAATATGGCTCCTCTGATGCCCTCGACCGGGTGGGTGTGGGGTAGGAGGTCGTGACCGACGGCAAAGGCATCGAATTCACTCTTCCGTTGGACCTACTCGTCACCCAGCACTACCTGTTTGGTCGACGACAGCGACATGACGGATTGATGGACACCCAATTTCATGTGGGCTATCTCGTAAACTACAAAGGACTGTCCTCACCTGTGACATCAAGCCTGTCGATCCTAGCTTACAAATCTAATGTTTTATCACAAGGTTATATGGTAGTTCATTTGAGCCCATGTGGCGTAAATGCCTCGACGAGGCCACGCTGCCATGCGTTTGGTGCGAAAATCGGTGAAGACCTCGAAGTCACATCTATATATGCGATTACATTATTGAAGAGAGGGGGGTAATAGATATTGGGGAGTATTGTTGGCGCCCGGGAAGTCCTACGATAGTTAATTCCTCCTATACCTATGGGGAAGAATATATGTGCTGATATCATTAATATAAGTGTCTACCTGGAAAAGTGGTCTCACAGGAAATGCGGAAGACGGTGAGTGCATTGTGTGGCTAAAATGAAAGGAAAGGTCAAAAAGATGCGCCTGCCGGGAGTCGAACCCAGGATGTCACGGCCACAACGTGAAGTACTGACCACTATACTACAGACGCCTGGAGCAGCAGGGTATCGATCCCTGTACCTCCCGCATGCGAAGCGGGCGCTCTACCATCTGAGCTACAACCCCATACTTTACAAATGAAATTCAATCAATCATATCAACATTGAACACTGTGGATCTCATCACCAGCGCCCTCGCTCAACCACTCTAGCCTCTGGGACCTACTAGCCATCCACATTACCACACTCGCACTCCAATATACGACACACACAGGCAACCATGCGACTCGTATTTCCAGTTGAATTGCGATTCTCGCCCTCAACGTCAGACGTAGAACGCTTAAACATCTACTTAAATGATTTCATTAGATCTTTAAACCAGCTGCTGACTAACTTCCAATGCTACTGATATCAATACAATTGGACTGTAGTGCTTCCGAAATAGTATTTTAATTCGTCAGTAGATGTCAAATATGCATGCACTTTGCTACTGATAAGATATATATATTGCAATCAAGAACTCAGCAAATCCGAAAGAGACTAGGTTACTGATCAAAAACGCAGTAGCCGATCATTTAAACCCTATGGAACCAAATCAAATCGATCAGCAAACACGTTTTATTAATGGTATGAATCCATCTCCATCATATAATAGTTACTCTTCGAACGATTCATCGATGGCGACAGAAAGCGTGCAGCACGGTTGCTGTCAATAGACAATCTCACTTGGCGATTCAAACGATGGTGGCGTTGGGCTTCACTGCGCTTGTGAGGGGAAGTGAATTGAAGCGACAAGCTGATTCCCCCCAAAGGTACAACCTCGATGATGTGGACACACATATAACCTACTTTGCGTTTTTAATATAGGTTTGAATCGAATATCCTTAATAAGAACAGTTTTGGCGAAATTTCTCCCAGCCTTTACATAAATGTACTCATCTATGGGATCTCAAAGATGTTATCATATAACGTAATATTTCGGTCAATACTTTGCTGGCGGTACTGTAATCTTGTGGAGGGATATCTCAGCCATTACTGTACGAACTCATGTTAAATTCAATCTACTTGCACACCAGCTTCGTCTATGTCACCATGAAATCAACTTGCACACGTTTTGGGCACAAGCAGCTTCGATTCACCTCCGAAAACAATGCGAGATGGCTGAAGAAAGTTGTGGACTTTGTAACTTGTTAGTACAATGTACGAAGAATCAGGTAGTAGGGAAATTCCGAATAGTATCAGTGGGTGAAATTGTGATTCTACATCACGTCGGAGATCGAGTAGTTCGTCAGATAGTCGATCTCTAATCAAGTGGTGAGTTTTATTGGAAGTCGCATGGGTTATTTTCAATTTACTTGATCTGCTGCTCATTAACCCAACTACTGATCGTAAGGTTTATTGCTGCAGGGAACTTCACAATGCAAGGCCTACCGAAGAAAGTAAGAGTTGCACTATGAATTTGTCCAATGATATAGACTGCAAAACAATTCTTGAAACGAATGTCTTGGCGTTGGTAAGGCAGGGAGGCAAAACCTTCAGAGCAATAGTTTCAATTCGAGGCATGCTATCATTTCACACCGTCGCACCTAACTTGTTTGATTGCAATCAACAAACAGCTAGTTTCGTCCGTTAAACTCACTGCTACACCAGAGTAGAAGTGGCTATATACCGTTTTTAGCGTACATCTGCACCAACACTCGTGTTTGCCGTTGACTTGCACCAACAACTCAAGGATTTGTTGATTTGCACCTAATACGTGATATATTTACCAACCATGCTGCAGTTTCAATTGCGAAATTCAAAACATTAATGCCACATAGGAGATCTTGACTTCCTTGCTCAAACAACACGTAAACTCGGCCTTCTCAATCGCATCAGCGGAACGGGGCGTCGGGGTTGTTCACCTGGGCTAACACTGCTTCGACCTTAGAGTCCGGCAGGTGCTGCAACTTGTCGTCGAGAATATGGCTCCTCTGATGCCCTCGACCGGGTGGGTGTGGGGTAGGAGGTCGTGACCGACGGCAAAGGCATCGAATTCACTCTTCCGTTGGACCTACTCGTCACCCAGCACTACCTGTTTGGTCGACGACAGCGACATGACGGATTGATGGACACCCAATTTCATGTGGGCTATCTCGTAAACTACAAAGGACTGTCCTCACCTGTGACATCAAGCCTGTCGATCCTAGCTTACAAATCTAATGTTTTATCACAAGGTTATATGGTAGTTCATTTGAGCCCATGTGGCGTAAATGCCTCGACGAGGCCACGCTGCCATGCGTTTGGTGCGAAAATCGGTGAAGACCTCGAAGTCACATCTATATATGCGATTACATTATTGAAGAGAGGGGGGTAATAGATATTGGGGAGTATTGTTGGCGCCCGGGAAGTCCTACGATAGTTAATTCCTCCTATACCTATGGGGAAGAATATATGTGCTGATATTATTAATATAAGTGTCTACCTGGAAAAGTGGTCTCACAGGAAATGCGGAAGACGGTGAGTGCATTGTGTGGCTAAAATGAAAGGAAAGGTCAAAAAGATGCGCCTGCCGGGAGTCGAACCCAGGATGTCACGGCCACAACGTGAAGTACTGACCACTATACTACAGACGCCTGGAGCAGCAGGGTATCGATCCCTGTACCTCCCGCATGCGAAGCGGGCGCTCTACCATCTGAGCTACAACCCCATACTTTACAAATGAAATTCAATCAATCA